ACTTGTAGACATCACCATTATTTACTGTTTATTTAATGAAAATGTCCCTAATATCATATAGCTAACTAGGCTCCCTGGGTGCGTGACCCCAACCATGTTCCCCACTGTGGTATGTTTATCTAAAAGCGCATTATTTCAGGGTGGAAATATGATTACCCTCTGTACCCTTCCTGTCTCAGCCAAAGAGCTTCCAGTTTCCAGTTGAAGTGTAATCAGTTCTGCGGGGACCCCCCTCCACACCAGCATGCTTCTACACTTTGATAAATGATCACGTCAGGCCCGTCACTCCAAGGAACTCGGAGCAAAACTTCCCAGCAGAAAACTGCCACTCTGTGAGCAGGGATGCGGGCCTACATCGGAGGACAGTGTCGATCCGTGTCCATGTTAGCTGGTCGTGTGGCAAGCCACTATGGGGATACCCATTTATCACTCGGCTGACAGCCTGTCATGATCTATTGTAACTGTTCGTATTCTCTCTTTTCGATTGTGAATAAAAATAGACTGATTAAAAATAGACTGAACCTTCAACCTCTGTATTTGCACAATCAATAAGCCAAAGGGTTGTATATATTAAAGGTCATATCTGCTAGACTTGAAAAGTAGTTCCTGTTCATAAAAATTACCTGCCCCAGTTTCATCTGAGACAATTTGTATTATTCAGCTAATGATCCCTTTGTGACCTTAACTGTTTTAATAACTTCTGTACAATCATGGCTCCTGATTCACAAAAAAAGCATGCTGAGGCAGATTCTCCCATGTGCTTAAGTAAAAAAACTGTGTACTTGCGTGTCTTTTTCACATAAACGTATTCTCCCAAGGATTTAAGTTTGGGGCTTACATGCACTTTCACATACTTTGGGCAGAGAAACAGTAATATGCACATTCTGCTTTCAAATGCATTTTTCACTATGTGCTCTGGAGGGATGTATTATGTTCTGTGCTTCTACATGGCCAAACACAATATTGCCGTGTTCAGAAAGCCAGAGATGTAAGAGATAATCATATAATTATATAAAAATACATAACACTAGAGTATGCCTAAGTGTCTGATGGACCCTGCTGTGAATATCATAACCATTATTATATTTTATATTGTATTCAATATTTAAAAGTCTGTTGAGTGGATTTCATATTAGTCATGTTAAACTTAGAGTTAGCAAACAATACATTTCTTGAAAATGTTCAGTAAACTCAAGAAATGGTTGGATTTACTGGAAGTGAAATTTTAAGGAAATAAGTTCGCAGGAGAAAGCAGAAAATATGTGCTTGTTTAAACTGTCATTGAATGGCTTCCCTAGGGAGAACTCTGCTGATTTGCTGAATAATTCTGACCCTGGTAGAATGCAGGACACCTAATCTCTGAGCGGGACTGATTTTTTTTTAGCAAATCTACCTTCCATGACTTTTCATAGTACCAAGAGATCACCTCTGCTATGTCAGTACCCTCAGACTATACGTAACAGAAAAACACATATTTACGAAACATATAGAAGAAATATAGTACTATATTGGTATGTAAATCTTAAATGTAATCCACTTTAAACACTACATCATTATGATTATATGTTTCTCTGCTGCTCATATGGGTCACTGTCAAAAAACAAAAATATGATTCTTGAGTTTTAAGACAAACTTTAAATATTATCAAGAGAATTTAAAAAATTACCGCAACATCCTGAAGTTGGTTATTGGCAGCAAATAGCTGTTTCAGTCGCTTAAGAACGGCAAGGTCCTGAATTTCATCAATGTTGTTGTTGCTTATATTTAAAACATTTAATGATTCCTGGTGTAAAAAATGTAAAAAATACTTGTTACATATTGCGGTATCATTTTAGCATGCCATTTACTAAACATTAATGCAGATTATTTTACACTTGCAAATTTCAAGTAAACATGCTTACTACATTCAAATGTGCAGAATAAATTGAAATGAAAATTGCATTCTTCATGTTACCATTTACACAGGGAATGTCCAGAGTTATGTTGTCTTAAATATGTCTTCAGATATGTCTTATTGCTTGAATTATTAAAGTACACATTACAGATTAAGCAAATGTATTGTCTGTTAAGAAAATTACCAACACCAACAACATCATATGTCATGTTTTCCCCAATTAGTTGGCAATTTATTTATTTATTAATTTTATTTGTTTGGACCTTTCATTTTATAAAAATAGTAATAGCGTTATCTATCTCTTCAAGTGTGCGTTGAGTGTGACCTTTATGGGGATGAAGGTGACTGTAATGTGCCAGCTGGCGATTCCTTACTGAGACGGCCAACAGGCTACTGGGCATGAAGAGCAACTTCTCCCCCGGTAGCAGCCTCTGACCCTCCAGGTGCAGCTCCCTGAGCTCCGTCAGCTGCTCCAGCCCCTCGACCACAGAGATGTTGTTGCCTCCCAGGTACCTGAGGCAAGCGGCACAGAAGATTATTGGGGTTCGGTGTTCGCACTCTAGCCAGCAAAATTATATGAGAAATGCTGACCACCAGCAGATAAAAAACTTATGTGGCCGTTGTGAGGCCAAGGAGACACAAATGTACAGGAGAATTAATAAAGCTTAAGGTGCAAACAATGGCTAACATCAATCATCCAATAGTGCTGTTACATGAACAGTTTATGTGTGAGATGATTGATATCAAAGAATAATATTACTATATATATATATATATATATATATATATTTATTTATTTATTTATTTAATAACTTTAATATTATTAACGTGTTTAGGTGTCTTTCATATTCATATTTTATATTCTATTTATTACGGTTTTCTTGCACTATGATCCACAAGATCGTACTTTCATCTCCATGTGTAACATATGTACCATACAGCTGAAGATGACAACGATACTTTGACTTCTGACTTTGACTAGGAAGGCGGAGGGGCAGCTTGTTAAACATGGCGTTACCCATCCCCGCACCTTAATGGCATCGCTAGGCAGCCCCGCTCGTACTCACAGCTTGGCGAGCCTCTGCAGGCAGGAGAACCTCTCGATGCGCTTGATGTTATTGTTCTGCATGTACAGGTGTGTGAGACTGCAGGCAAAGTCCAGGTTACAGATCTGTGTCAGCCGGTTGTCATAGAGATAGAGGACTGTGAGGTTTCTGCATATAGAAATATCCCCCTGGAAATGCAAAGCTTTGTAAGTGTGAGGTGACAGTGCTTCCCACTGCAATACTGCATCACCTTAATGACACTAATGCAAAGCAAGCATTTTGCTGGAAAAACTGACTCAAATGAATCTGTAATTCTTATATATTTTTGTATCTTGTATATTTTCCTACATATATAACATTAAGGAGAGCCAGTGAAGTTTTATACTTACAATATCTTCAATATTTTTGTTGGAAAAATTCAGGTGGGTGACTTTCTTCAGATATTGTGAAAGAGACATGCTTCTTCTGTTTTTCAAGTGTGCGTGGGATTTGGCAATCAGGTCCACATTCAGGCAGACCATGACTACTTATGGTGAGCTCACGTTTCAGAATCAGAAATCTCTAGCTAAAATTGTGGCTATGATTGAACTGGCCAATAATAAAGATCTGTAAAAGAAAAAAATCCTATTAACACAATCACACAAAAACTTTAACTAGCGATCCTCTCACCCACACCAACCAAGTTTAGCTATTTCCATTTTTGAGGCAGATTTACCTGTTTATGAATAGTTTCATACCTGCCATGATGCCTCATAAAATATCATCGCTCTCTTAAATAGCTACATCCATATTCTAACTACTTATCCTTGTCAGAGTTGCGTGACGTGCAAAGCAGGGGTACACCGTGGATGCGACGCAACTCCATTACAGGGTATGTACAGTGCTATATATTTGTATAAATGTGACAGATTATTACGATTAAAATGTTTTAAATTGTTTCTTTACAAAAGTATGTTTGGCATAATCGGCATACATCATAATACAAGAACATATCATTAAAACATATTAGAAAACATTTCTAACTTTAAAGTAAAAAAAACACGAACTTGAAAAGCGACATGGCCTAATAAATTCGTGTCCTTAACATTTTTTATTTAAACGTGTACGCCTATTATCAGTGTTTATCCTGCATTGTACACTTCATATGTGTATTTGTGTACGTATATGACTGAGCTACAGCTAGTTAGCAATGGTTATAACTAACGGTAAACTAGAAAACTACCGGACTCAGAGAAATTGAACATTACAAACACGTTATAGTTAAAAACATTTAAATACCAGAACCGCAATAATACCCTACCTCTTATGTTCCAACGGTGTATTAGCCCAAACTATTGCGTTTTGTTTTTGTTTTTTTAAGTTTTCTTGTTTAAAAGTTGAGGTTTTTAACTCAGAGTCTGCACGCCTTTGTTTAGCCCGCCGTGCCGGTTGTTATGGTAACGGGACGCATGCGGGTTTTTGTGTTTGCGCTTATATTGACATATATTTATCATTTTATTTAAAAGCATTGACACGGTACATCTCATTTTACAAGAACAGCATTGGAGTGGAACTCAAAAAATGAAGCAATCGTGGTACTCTATATATTTACAATTTTACAACAGTGCAACACAGATAGCATATTATTTCTTTAGGATTCTTTGCAAAGATAGTTGCGTTACCGAAATCATAATCGCTATGATGTGTTTATTATGTTTATTACATTTATACACACTATTGGGACTTTAGTATTTTTACAATGTGCGTTTTTGATAATCTTGTTCATGCATTTTCTTTATTATACGCCTATACGGGAAAGTACAAACTTAACATCGGAATACATGTAAATTCTAAACTCTGTATACCTTATTTTTACAAACTAAAATTGGAGAATAAGGGTTGGTAATGTTTCCTTGAAACCCGGAGAAAAGATTTATTGTTAATATTACTCATTAGTAACAACTGGTGTTTTTTTTGTAATCTAATGCAAGCGGTAAATTCTCTATTCTATATAGTAGACCTACAAAAAAAGAAATATTTTCAAATATGACCGGCAAAAAATGGCCAAAACCTTAGAGTTGCTTTTGATTTCTTGTAAAGTAATGTCATTTCGCCAAAGGAAAGGCCCAAAGGTAACAGGATCTAGAACAAACAGGGGAATTCACAAAGGGAACGCGAGATGGATTACACTGGTCTGGCAGAAATAAATTAGCTATGCTCATTGCACTCATGGATCTTTACAGATTTTTCCCCCCATATGTTCTACATGTATGTTTTTCTGATATCACTATAGCAGCCTATTAAGCGATAAATCATTACACTAAACCGTCTTTCAAGAGGAAATTACTTTTTAAGAATAGGCCTAAGTTACTTTTTAAGCATAGTAGAATCAAACAATTAACAAAAACATATAATTGTTCTTCCATTTTTGGAATCTGATTGCATATTCCTTGATCAGGACGATGGTAAAGTCTTGGACTGGGTTACTGCTGAACATTAATCATTAGTTGAATGATATATGTTAGGCATTATAAATCGGTTTTGTAAGTGTTTGTCTTGTAATGGATTAAATGTCAAATGTTAATTTCATTGTTCATGAGGTGTTCTGACCTGTCTAATTTAATGGAATTTGGATTAGGCTTGTTGCTGGGGTAGTACAGTTAAAATAGGTTACAGTCAAACACATTGCTGATTTAAATGGTTTATTTCCAAAAATTGGATTCCAACTAAATAAATGACACACTTTCGCTTTTAATTTAATTTATATACGTGGTTGAAACAATGTCACATTAATGTCACATTTCGGTTACAATGCAGTCCTAGACAGTGATGTGTGTTATAGAATTAAATATTCTCATTCTTGCCACAACTAGCCTTATTCTCAATGGACATACTAATGTTAAAGAAGATAAATAGTAAAGGAAAATACATTTTTTTCATAAAAGCGTAAGTTAGATTTAGGACATCATGAGTTAAAACATGCCATAGTGGAATTCCCTTTCAATAATAATGCATGTTGTTCTTCACAACAAAATGCTGGTTGATTCTTCATAACCACACGCTGGATTGAGGAGCTGTCGCCCATTCAGCTCTGTCGACCCAGCGCATTATTATACAATGGCAAACCTTTCCATGCGACTGGGGTGCCCTTGCGCCGGAGTGGAGGGGAAACGCTGCACCGCCTTTGCCTCCCCAGGGTACAGACCATGCACTGCTGTGCTTGTTTACATTATTGTCATAGCCAAAGTAAACATGAATGCTACCAGATACCCATAAGAAAGCAGCCATTTTGCAGCACCTTGGTTTCAGAGGTCAGCCTTGAGATAAATAGTCATTCATCAGGCCTTGTGCTTATCTCTGCACAGCGAGGTTGTTGCCCTTTTATTAGGGTTGTGGAGTCTATTTATTATTACAATACATTTCTTATGCATTTAGTTAATGAAGTGGAATTCCGCAATTTAAGACTCCTGGCTTTATTTTATGTGAAATACATCTTGTAATAAATTCACACAAAGTAAATATGCAATTGGATGATGTGAAATATTGCGATTCACTGTGTGCTTCGCTGACTGAATACCTTTACATTGCTGTTTATGTACATATTTAATCTGCACGCCGACAGTATAAATAACAAACTTGCAGTTGTACCAGTTGGTACTGATTAAGCGTATGGCATGGTTTCATTAAATAGGAGATCTTGGGGAAAATGCAAGGAAATGTGCTGATGTTACATTGCTATAAAGATGATTTTAAAGAGATTAATCAGAAAATGAAAATGGGTTCACACTGGAATGTTTCTTAAATATTTAAATAAATTAAATTTAAAGGTTAATTATGTTCAACTTATAATTCACTTCACTGTCTTCATTGAATTTTCAAATTTTCCTGCTTTAGGAATTGTTCACTGTATAGGTTTCACAAGTAAAATAAATCTTAGAAATCTAATCCATTTACACACTTATCAATTAAGTAGTAAAAGGCCTTATGCGGGTTAAAAACTACAGACCTTTGTTCCAATGTCATAAGTCCAATATTCAGTTGTAGGGCTACTGTCAACACCATTCAACAAATCGATTCAGAAATACAAAACCATATGAAACAAAACATAGCATTTTTTGTCTTAAAAATAAACAAAACTGTTACATAGTACCACCCCCCATGGCGTAAAAGTACACAGGCCCCCTATAAGTCCTCCGTGATGAAGAACAGACAGAAATGAGGAGTGAATGAACCACAGTTTCTCCAGCTCCTGTATTGCATCACCGGCACAGTTAAGGCTGATGAACCCTGATAGTTACAGGCTGTGTAACTAATGAAGACACCACCCTGAGTCTTCCCTTACTGGGGGGGGGGGGGGGCACTGTGTTTATCTTTGGACCAGCATGTCGATCATGTTAATTCCATTATGTAACCAGAGCCAAAAATGAGCCAGTGACAGACAAATCACGGCCCTTATTACAGTGTTGTGTTGTAAGGCATCTGCCTGTGAGTGATGGCTCACATGGGCCCTGCTGATGTAAATGTCACAGTGTAGGTTTACACTGAACCGAGAAAGATGTCAGATTTGCTGTTCACTGAAAAAGAAAATACATTAGTTAGAACTGCAGACCACCCAATGCATTTGGAAAGTAGCTGGTAACTTTCAAGAAATGCTTTTAAATTAATCCTGAGACTCTCCCTGTGAAGTATAAAGTATCTGGGTTGGCCTATAGTATAGTGATTATCAGTAATTAAATTCAGATTTTTTATAGATTTACTGTGAGAACCCTAAAATATAAGGTCATCCATTTTTTTCTTATTATTCAATAGTAGATTGACAAAAGGCAGTACGTTTCATTCTCAAACTTCAAAAACCTAATGATTTATTACCCTTTGTAACAGACTTAATCTCAATTGTCTTTATAATACTGCACATAAACAAACTAACAACCTAGTCATTAAACAAATACAAGTTAGTCATTATGTCATATATAAACATTCCCACTAGCAACCACACAACATTAATCCAAGCGTCAAAAAAGTCTGTCAAAAATTTGTTTATTGAACATACACTGAAATGACAGACAATGGTGGAAATGAACCAAATAAAGCTGAAACACAGCCGTAGATAAACGGTAGACACTAATTAGAGCCCCACTACACACTCACACAGCAGGATGTCTGCGATACGGCCAGGCGCCGCCGTGGAGCAAAGCCGCCCCCTTCCACCAGCCTAATTGGCAGAGGTATTGATTTGATTGAAGAGCTTGTCTTTAATGACTTGGGACATCAACCCGTGGATGGCTTCTATAGTCGTCTTACAGCTGAAAAGTGCCCAATATGAGTGTTAAATTTCAGGTAAAAACAAGGTAGATCTCAAAAACATTACTCTGCACCATGTCTACGTATTTATTGTTATAAGCACAACTTTATTTATTGTCTCAATGGAAGTACCTTAATTTGTATTTCTGATCTTTGTTTTGTGGGTGCCACTTTACAATAAGGCTACCCATATAAAGGGTATATGAATGGTTTATAATACGGTTATTAATTAGGTTGTAATATTTTGTAAATTAATAGACAATTTTAAACAAGTTATAACAGTTTTATTTTTATTAATGACTTACTACCATTTACAAGTGGCAAAGGGAGCCTTATTGTAAAGTGGTACCGTTTTGTGTTTAAGGATGGCAGGAAGGACCTGCAGATTTTCATTGCATAGTGGAACTGACTGCCTACCGTGCATATGACATACTCTGGAATCTGTCTTGAAACAGCAGTATGGGAAATGGTCAAACAACCACTAATTCAGCGGTCAGATCTCAGGGCAGTACAATGTAAAGTAAGGGTGATACCTGTCCCGTGTGGCTTTGGCTAGCTTGTCCTCAGACTTGCGGTCGTGCGTGTCCAAGCCCAGCATGAAGCTCCCCCTCCCCAGCTGGGCCTCTGACTGCTCAAGCTTCTCAGACAGGTCGAAAACCTGCCCCGTGGTGTAGTCTGAGTTCTGGGGGGAGGGGCAAAAGGTGTGTCACGCCAAGCCGTGGGACCACATTCATTAGTGGCACATTAAAATCGATCTGGGGTCGAATAACATGTGTTACATAACACAACCCCTGTATGTTAGCTAAAGAAAGACGAGGTGGTGTCTTCCACCCACACGGATGACATCATCAAGCCAAAGTCAAGTTTACTGTCATTGTGCACAAGCACAATGAAAGCATATAACAGGCTCTCATAGTGCAAGCATCACACACAGTGATGAAGAAGATACAAAATGCATAAAATCATAGTGAAATAACTGCATTGGCGATCTTTTTAAACCAGTAATCAGTCAGTCCAAATGCATGATGCTGTTTGGATAGTGCAGCACATTCAGAACCAGTTCTAAGATGCATAAGATATCAGGCAAATTAAAACTACTTTTTACAAAATTACTTACTCAAAATACTAAGAGTACATGGACATAACTAAAACACCTTTTGGCCCATGTCTAAAAATAAACATCATGCAAAAACGTTGTGCATCCAAAGAATTGACATATAAATGGTGAAAGACCAGATGACAAAAACCGAGGCGGGCACGGACTAAACCGAGGCGGGCACGGACCAAACCGAGGCGGGCACGGACCAAACCGAGGCGGGCACGGACCAAACCGAGGCGGGCACGGACCAAACCAAGCACTGCGGCCGCACGGTTGCACTTACTGTCAGCAGGCTGGACGAGCTCAGAGTGTTCACCCAGTATTTGTTCCAAAGGAGCTCAAGCAGCTTGCGATCGAGGGAGGACTTAAAATAAGTCACTTCGAGGGCATAGTACCTAAACATAAAAAACTGCATTTACGAAAAACATACCTCTATGACTTTATCCTCCACATACAATAAAATCAGCCAGAAAACAGTGATTTGTCTCAGATAATTCAGACCTCTGAAACTGTCAACTACACCATGACTAGTATAATTTCAATACCAGTTTTCCCGCAAATGTTAAATGTGGAACAGCTCTATGTCTTTATGACCTTATCGTTTGTAGGTCATAGCATCATGTGGCCATTTGGAATCCATTACGGAAAAATGCTGCCTTTCCTTGGCATTCACCCGTTTATTTTTAACCAATTACAGGACTAAGACTGGCCCTGCCGGCTGCTTACTGTTTGCAGTGCACACCAAAGTCTTCAATTTTATTCAGAGGGATGGTCTGGTACTCCGAGGGCCCTTCATCCGGTGGCTTGTAGCCCTGTGAGGAAAGCAAAGATTTTCAGACATGCTGTTCTATTTCAGTTCAAAACATCAGCAACTTATGAAAGCTCAAATAGAGTTTGTGTCTACAATATACAATCAACAACACAGCATGGGGAACAAGCTCAGTAATATTATTCCATTTCTACAAGTATTATTTTACAGCAGTACTGTATTTGATGCTTCAGTGAAATTTATATACATATATATTAACATGGACAAAATCAATAAAATAAGCAATTACTGTACTGAGAAAAGTGACTGATCAGTACCCAGTACATATACTTAGCAATGGTGTAGTCTAAGAAAACATATTTAATCAATCATATCGCTCAAGCTGTATGCTGTGTTGGAAAAAAATAATTCTAAGTGAAAAATAATCTCTTACCTTTGGGTATGTTCTAAAGGCTCCAAGATTGACTTTACCTGCAGATATGGTTCGAGTTGGGTCAATCTGAAAGGAATGCAACTCAAAATTATACTAGGCAAATATTTCCTTTAGAAGAGGCACGCTACGATGGAACAAGTTTACACATTTAAATGAATCGGATGCCAAATTAAACACGACTCATATTAAACGTAAAAAACGGGTAACAAAAATGTTCGATTTGGCGTATGGCGGTATACTTACAACAACCGCCACAAAGGGCTCCTGGAACTGCTGGTTGAGCATCTGTGTGCTGACATCGATGCCGGAGAGCCAGCAGCCGTAGCCTGGGTGACTGTGATACCAGCCGATGGCGTTTTCCAGGCGTCCAACCTAATACCGAAGAACGGAGAAAAGGAAGAGATCCAGTGATTGAGGAAATCCGTTATCCATACCGATTCGTATAAAATAGTAAATACGTTACATGTAATGTCAAAACAAATATAAAATTATGCCACCTGCACTGCGTGCATAAAAATTTACGTACAGTGTCCAAAACAAGCTTAAAATATTTAAAAATACATTTATAGTATACAAGCAACGAAAGGGACTGCGACCTGCTTGGCGTTTTCGATGTACGCCGCCATGTACTCATAAGCGGCCGCCTGCGCGTTGACTCGGGTCTCGGTGCCTTCCACGGGCAGGGCAAAGCTGTCCATGATGATCATGGTTTCGCCGTCCACCTTCCCCAACATCAGTCCCATCACCTCCAGGTTGCCTCCTGACCGAGCGTGCATCACCATCTTTAGCAGGGCCAGGGCGGAGATCTTGCAGTACTTGAAATAATGATGGCTGATGTGCAAAAATGCAAAAAAAAGACCCATACATATACAGTGTCTCCCAGTTATTTCCACGGACATACTTCATAGTCATGCATCGTATACGCGACTCCCTGAATTTACCCTATTATGAAAAAACGTGTGCAAATACAGAATAACTTTGACAGTCATCGTTTTTTGGTAAACAAACTCTTGTATCTAGATATGTCCTTCCACTCTACTCTGTAAAAATATTTTTTTCCGCCTTATATTTAATATTACTACTAGAAAGTTCCTAACTAGTGGACAACTACTTAACCAGTTATTTCATATCAGATAGGGTTCACGGATCCATCATCGAAGCTTGTGATGTGTATGAGGGCTTTTAATGAGAAAGCCGGCCCACCGCTACATGCCAATCCAGGAAAGACTCACGGGCCCCTTCGTCCCTGGTTCTGTCATTTAGAGGTGGGCACCGCAAACTCACTCTTTAGTCCACGGTTTGGCGGCCAGGATCTCTTGTTGCTGCTTCTTGTCGTATTTGTAAATCTCGTCTATACTCTGAACTTCCTGCATGCTGTTGGAGAGCTCCCAGGTCTTCTGGGCCATGCCACTCCCGGCCATCTTCCTCTGTTTATCGTCGTCAGTCTTTTGTAAACGCTTAATGAGAGCGTAGTAGCTAAAACTCTGCAAGCAAGGCTTTTCGAAAGCGCATCTGCACGCGTGAATTTTGGTCAATCTCCTTTGAAATAACAATGTCAGCGATTCAGTATCGCAGTTTACGATCAATTAGGAACCATGACATAGGACAGTACTATCGTCAGCAAGTCAGAGGGGCGTCACCTACTTATTCCAAACAAAATGACAATATTCAAAAATATTTAAAGCTATTTAATGCCAATACAAACAACAATATTTGAAACTTTATTTGTAACAATACTAGTTAGGATGGTGTTGCGTTCGGAGTTGCGTTTATTTAATATGTACTATTCTTCATGTCCTGTTTCTATGGTTTAATCCAGACCGAAGGGGACCGATTATTTACAAGAAAAAAATATAGGGTGACACCAGGCGGACTTAAGATGCAATTACATCGTTATTTACGTGTTTTGCTTTTAATATACTGTATAAAACGATATTAACTCTATTATATGAAGCGAAAATAATTGGACACTTCAAAAAACGACGACTTAAGTTATATTTGTAACAGGTAGAATTACATTACATTACAGGTATAATTGACTATTTTTTCCGCTCGTTTTTGCAACAACTTAGCCGTACATATTGACTTCTATATTACATGGTAAAAAGAAAATGTCACAGTCACAAATACTGGCAGGAGGAATCAAGAAAGATGACTGTATACTGTTTTTTTTCTGTTAAATTCAGTACATGCTTTGAATATTTTATTTGTATTTAGTATGTATCTTGTATGTAGTCAATTGTATCAGTAAAATTGACCCATTAAAAAACACCATGGTTTTCTAAAACGCCAGAAGGGGAAAATTGCATTCCTTTCAGATTGACCCAACTAGAATTTGCCGAAAGAAAAAAAACAGAAACTCAGAAACGTATCAACTTTTTCTCCACATTAGCACACTAAATTAACAGGACTGCTGCCCAACCTCCTCCTTTACATAATAGACTACTTGTGTTTGAAGAGAAACTTTAATGCTTTTACATGTGTGGGGATCCTGAATATGTATCTCTATGTTGTGTATTTAAATATATCAAGAGAACCATACTCACATAGAATTTCTGAAGAACATATCAGTGACACCAAAAATAAGTGTAAGAAACATATACTTTGATAGTTTTAAGAAAAGATAGTACAGAGTAGTAAACACAATGACTAGGAATAGATATCCGGATCACCAAGATTAGTTTCACTGTATAAATCCAAAGATTTTGCACACCCAGAGTTTTACTTTAAAGAAAGATATCAACCACAAGAAGTTTCTTCCACCATTACTCTTATACAGTAAATAGCAACAGTCGACATTTTGAAAATTGCTTTTAATCAAAAAAATAAAATAAATCATTCATAATGGAATTAAGTATGTATTTGTGTGTTGTACATCTACAAGCTACAGGAAGGTATTCTGGCAATGATTAACAGAAATGCATAGGTAGATGTCAGCTGCTCAATTACGGTGAGGAAAATCGGCCGAAGAAGAGAATGGTCTTGGATTTGTTGTGTCTGATGAAGAACAGAAAGGGGTGATCGGCAACAAAGTACTCTTCTCTGAACATGGCGAAAGCCACGATACCAGCGGTGGCTGCCGCTGCCTCTGTGCCCTCCTCATTCACCTCCACGAAGGACTTGTGGACAACGGTAGAGAGGAAGAGGCCGCCGGTCCCATTCATCCCAGAAAGATCGGCCTGTGCTGCATCAAACACGTCTGTCATGCCCAGAGAAACCAGGGGGGCCTTCAACTCGTAGTCATCTTCCAGCTTGAACTTGGGCAGGTGGACGCAGATGTCTGTCCCAGTGTCCATGTTGTGCCTTTCTGTCCATTCCTGTATCTTCTCCAGCGTCAGCTCTTTCTCCAGCTTTAATGTGCAGGGAATGAAACGATATTAACAAAAAGGAAAAACAACCACTTGGATTCATTTATCTCTGCAGTTTGCAAATGATTTTAACTTGTGGTTATTGGTATGATCCAGTGTCTTAGGTACAACCATGAGCTAAGCCCAGAACTTCCCAAAGCCTGGATAATGTTTTCTGGCTCAGGCTCACTGGAGTTTTGAGCACCTGAAACTAATTACCATGATACCTCTATAAATATCTCTTTGTCAGGTTCCCCCTGTCCAAGGTGTCTGTGAAATATATGAGTAAGTTTTCAATAATCATCTGCCAAGCAGCCCCTCTGTCACGCCCCGCTCCGTCCGCTCCTAATGTGTGCCACGCCCACCTCGTTACCTCGTGTTCAGCCCTGATTGTGATCGCCTGTGTCCTATTAAGTCTAGCTTGTCTTTTGTATTTAGTCCTCGTCTGAGTCAGTCTTCCCCAGATCTGTCATTGTATTGTCATGTGGTGTCCGTGCCTGTCCGTCCCTCCATTAAAAACCCACGTTTCCCTAACTCCTGGCTGCTATTCGCCTGCTTCCTTGTTCGCCTCCCCGTCTGACGTGACACCCTCGTGGACAGGTGGAGTAACTGTATATAAGTACTGTATGGAGTGGCTGGAGACGGGTCCTGAGCACTGAGCTGGGAACCACAGGCTTATATGAAGGTTACCTATGAAGGTCTTATGAATTTAAACATGTATATTGAAGGCTTTTAAATGTTTACTTTGTATAGCTGCTCTTGGTATATTGGTGTTAACCTACACTCTTCATTACTCATACCATTAGCAGCAGAAAGCTGCTTTGTTGCATACGTTTCTGTTTTCTAAGTACTGGTTGAAGCTTCTGATCCAATGAGTCTGACATGTCATCACCAATGATGATTTCATGTGACTATAAGCTGGGGTCACCTTCTGCAGGGGGTTGGAGCCATTTTTGGCCTCTTGGGGCAGCAGGATGAACATGCTCAGCTCCTCGCTCTTGTATGGCAGCTCCAAAACCTGAAGCTCATACTCTGAGATGTAGTTGAAGGGGAACTTCTCCTTCTGGTACATCATCTGCACTGGCTTGGTCTCTTTCTGGCAACAAAACAAGTAAAGAAATATACACACCATGATAAATGACACATTCTGAAAGTCTGCTAAGTAGTACCATTACCATAAGGAATTATGATCTTACCTGATTGATTCTGAAGGACATTTCCTTTGTGTTGTTTGCATCAAACTTTTTCAACCAGTCTCCCTTGAAATAGATGGCATTAATGAGAGCCATTCTTGTCATGGAGTTGATAGATCCTGGTTTCAAAAGCTCTTTAATTTTACCTACAAAGGGAAGATTACTGGTTGAAGGCTGATTTTGGAAACAGGGTTTTAAAACATGAATTTACTTTGGGTTTTTAAAACTTTGGATGGGAGGTAGTGGCACATCATACAAGTTAAATTAAAACCCTGATTTACACAAATGGTCTCACCATTGGTCTGCTCTTCCACCCACTGGTTGATCTGGCCCCTGCATGCTGCTGAGGCTCCTATAAAGTCCACTGGCATCAAGTCTGCGTTGTAGAACTTCTGTGTAGAGTCCAAGAACTCCTGTGATAGTTCAGAATGCCATTTTAAGTTGTTCCTATTCATAAATAAGAATTTGAACTTTACTGCTACTTTATTGTAACATTTGTAAGTTCTCTGGCAGTTGGGATGTTTGCTGTAGTGAGTCACAGGAGGATGTATGAAAATACTGACTGTGACTCACCTGCAGGAAGCTGAAGGTCTTTTCACCATAGAGACGGTTGGCGAGTTTCAGCAGATAAGGGGCATCAGGTTTCTTAATATCGGAAATAAACTTCTGTAGATCTGAGTGGACATGAGACGTTGTGTTGAAAGAAAGACCCTGTAAAAAAAAATGAAGGGTATTGTTACGGTCTAATGACATGTTTCTACAATCTACCAGAGTCCAACAGCATCATTCTGCCAGAACCTCACAGTATCTGTTACTGAGCAACTTCTACATTTTAAGATGCCAAAGCGCGGTGACAGGGTTGCACATCATACTGCTTACAGAAAGTCACAAAGTCCGTTCAAGTCCTGCAGCCACTGAGTCAAGGAAAATATAAGTTTGCAAAAGATTTATTGCATCTTTCATAGTAACAGCCAAGCCTGTTTGTCTGGTCGTCATGGGCAACCAAAGTACAAACACTGTACTATCTGATAACAAGAGGTTAATTATTCTTGCTGAAACCATGAAATAAAGGGAACTCCAACTGGATGAGTGAAGGACACTATAGAGCCATAATCAGTCAGAGAGGAATCTAGGGTTTTTTTTTTTAAATAAGTATTGGTGTTGTACTGTCTAATAAAATACATTTTCCTGTTAAACAGGAACCAGTTCCTCACAGCACTATTTTCCCTCTGTTCCTTTACCTCACAAGTGTGTCTCCTTTCATCTGAGACACTTTCCCTTGTCCTACAGCAGTAGCTGTGACTTTTTAAACATGATTCTTATTATTTTGATAGTTACCTCACATGCAAGGTCATCACTGTATCTGGAATGGATCTATATAAGTAAAAGTGAACATTTCCTGTATACCAGGAGGATCAGATTCAGGCTGAAATTTGATCCCAGCCATCTCAGTGTAACATTACTGCCTGCTTAGTGCATAGCTTTGTCAAAGTGGATTCATTTTTTTCTATTTGTTCCTGTTCCAACAGACAATGGCTGGTATGTTTGCCCCGTAGTTCTTGGTCTACAACACTGAAGCAGACAGCCATATGGAAACAGCCGGACTCCCTACCTTCGCCATCTGAGCCGCGGTGTTCCCCTTAGCGCCCAGGTAGACCATGGCTAATGCCGAGGTGATGCTCAGAGGGGAGAAGAAGATGTTGCCATTGCTTTTGGTCTCACAAAGGATCCGGTAGAGGTTCAGAGCGAACTGTGTGTTTGCGCTGCTTAGATCTTCCATGGCTTAAAAAAAACGAATGAAACGTCAAAAGGTGACAGATACTGCCCCCCAAAGAAGAACAATTACCACAGCTTACAGTTAGATGTGTTTAATAAACTACATTTTTCAACAAGGATACATGAGAATTACTTCTGATGTTTTAAGTTCATTCTACTAAGCGATTGCACGTTCAAATGAAACACAAAGATCGCTCATAGGGGGCGATTATGTGACGTGGTTTACATTGCAGATACGTGGCTAAACCGCTGCTAGTACAACACGGGAATCTGTAGTTTACTAAATACAAGATAAATACTTACAAGCTGCAAGACCTTGTGTTTATCAGAGTTGAAATTAGAAAATGAAACTAGTTACCGGAAGTAGACGACTAGTGATGTTTACAGAGATTTATACATGTAAATTCATTTGCGTAAGTATACATTAATTATTTGGGAAAACGCAACGATTTGTTTAAGTTCAACACGGCAAATAAGAATCTATTTCATGTGTTATGCAGTTCTCCCTAATAAATTTATACAGCTTACCATACGCAAATGTGTTCTCGACAGATGAGAGAACCATATGATACACATACAATACTTGCACGATTCTGCAATTAAGCATTGCGATTTCGCTGTATTTCCCCAGGTCTCAGAGGAGAACCTCTAACTGACAGCCACAGTCACAAGCATTTCTCCAGCTGTCACACCCCACACTAATCTGGAAGTTGGCAAATGCTGAACCCCAGCAGGTGCTGCAATATGCAACGTTAGCGTCAAGGCGCACCCCAAGAAGATTACAATTAGATTTTAATCGTTATTTCATCATAAATACAAATCACAGGCCATTAATACTTACTAAGAAGAATATAGGGTCCGGTGTAGTTTATCTCAGGAACTGAATTCCTTGAAGGATCCGTACTTAGGTTTTAAGATGAGGCGCGGTCACACACACGACAAAGGTCGCATTGAGTAAATCTAAAAAGGGAGTGAAGCACCGTAGTTAATTATGTAGTGACTTTAGTGTTCTGAGACCAGTTAGCTTAAAGGATGCTTTGCAGCCTATGACACATGTAGTAGGAAACAAAAGCACCAGTCAAAAGAGGCCTTCACTGATTCAACAACGGTAATCTCAAATGGCTTGTTTTTGTCCAATGAATGTTGCGGTTATGTTTTGCTTCAGGAAGTTACGGGTTATGGCATGCATTAAAATATTGGTGCAATACTTTTTATAGGTACAATTTTAGAGTATTTTGAAATTTGAAGAAGGCACCAGCTGATTGAGAAGGAATACGTCCTTAGACTGAGGATTAAATAATTTGTTGTTTGCAGGTCTATAAAAATCGTGTGTAAGCGTGATCAGAATGAATGAAACACAACCATCCACAAATTCCAGAATTAAGCTAAAGCCAATAAATAGATTATCATGGTTGAACCAATTGGGGTTGACATTTGATCCACCTGCCCCCAGCATGTCAATATATCTGAGTGCCCGAAAATCATGAAAAACAAAGAAGTCGGCTCCTGTTTAGGCTGGGTTTAAGACCCCGGCTGTGGGGAAGGGGGAGGGGAAGTAAGGTGTTCAACTTTGCTCTGTTTGCACAGGTGAAAACATTCTGAATTCTACACAAATAATGTTGTCTTCAGACACTGTTTAAACAAAGCAAACCAGAAAGTCTCTCATATATATACTTCATGCCGAGGTATATGCTGGGGTGGGGCCACAGAGACACTGGCCTCAGTTGAAAGCTGATTGGCCCCTGGAGTGGCCCCTTCCCTGTCAATCATGGATTAAAAACATATCATTGGCTAATGATAACATATGAATTACGTATGAATTATGGCACCACTTCTGCCATGCCTTAAAAAAATTCTACAATCCCCCCGGACCTTATGACTTACTGTTGATAGAAGGAGATCTGTTTGGAACTGAAGAGAGATTTCCGACCTCCACCCTGGAAGTTCAACACTCAAGAGCTTGAATGACAAACAGAAGAACTCAGTGGTCTTCACCCTTACCTTTGCAAAACCTAGGGGAACAATCAGTATACTTAGAAAGACCAGCAACTCTCAAGGCTTCAAAAACAAATGTCATCACACAATGCCTGCAAAATACAAAACTGCAGCTTCTTTTGGTTAAACCTGTTGGACTGTTTCTGATTTATGTCTGGTCCTGTGCCAGAAAGCTAGATCCCCTCCGTCTCCCGATTGCTGAAATAGCTCACAACTGTGCACATGTGTGGAATTAGTAATGTGATCAAAGGAGTTATGGAGGAGTGGTTTTGAGGGCACAAGCCGGTTGAGAGCTTAAATAATTGGTAACTCATTTGGCCTCCTCCTGAAGATTGAACAAAGCTGCATATATGCATAATTCACGTACATAATCTGTGAACAAATCTGCACTTACAAGCCAAAAAGTATTCCTCCCTATTGTATTTTTCCACCTGTCATTATAGGATTGTGTGGTTATTAGACACGTCAGAGGATCTTAGCTTGATCGGGCTGTTGCGTTCTACATGTGAACTATTTGTGTGAGGAAAACAACCCATTTGGCTTCTTAGGTTCTTTGAAAATGGCCAGCATTAATGAGCAGGGACAGAGTGTTCTGAAAAGAAAACAGCAATAGTGACAAACTAGAGACCCTTTGACATCATGGGGCAAGCATCCTAAAGGACTATGAAGCTATAAGTCTTTTTGCTGCACGTGTGACATTCCCAGTAACTCTTATAGCCAGCTTCCTGGAATAACACTATAGTGTACTCTCTTTTTTTGTAGGCTTACAGTCCTTTATGGATGTATCTATTGCCCAAGCCTCTTCTGGTATCTCACACAAACAGCAGCAGCCTCTGTGGTGTCGGCACCAGCCTTTGAGTTGAGCTGACTCTAATGAGAGGACAGCTGGGCTTGCGGGGGCCTTGGCACCGGCGCCCACCAGGTCCACCCATGCCCCCCCCCCCCGATGGACTGGCTGATCCTCTCTTCGGGAAGGCCTCTCTCAGGTTCCATTAGTGTGAAAAAAGCAGCCCAGCACCAAACAAGGAAGGAATCTGGGGACTACATTGGGCTGGAAGCCAGAGGGGGAGGTGGGCAGATAGCTGGGGGGAGAGTACGGCAACTTCCCTTAATGCTGCGAGACTCCACCCTTATCCTGCTGCTTCCAGTCACCCCATTGGTTGGTACTGTGAGCAACAAAAACAGACTGTGGAGACAAGAAATGTTAGAGAATTCTGGGTAAAAAACAATAGGCTTAGCTTCTGCTCTGAATTCAGTTCAGATTCAGAGATCTGTCATACAATATGGTGGGAATATTTATGAAGGAAATTCAGATTTAATTAGTGCACCGATCATGAACTGTTACACTGTTTGGAAACATTTGAATGTGAGATACAAAAGAAAAAACTATGAATAGATTCGTAAAATACTGCCATGTCGATGCCCCCTCAGGGTGCAGAGCGAAATTTGGGTCAGAAATTAATGGCCAAAGCAAGCCGACTGCACATGAGGCAGAAAAAGCCTTAGCAATATAATGGAAGGCTGAAGCACCCCCAAGAAAAAGGGATGAAGATAAGATGTTACTGTGAACTTCGTACCCAACTTGCTAAGCTAATGCTAAGAAATACTTTATGGAAATTCTACCTTGAACTCTGGCAGCCTGCCCCAAACTCCAGCTAATGACAGGCATGTCACACGTCATCGGTACACCTCCATCCATCTTCGGTTAGCCTCTCTTCCTAGTCCCCCCCCTTAATCTGGAGATAGCGTGACTTTCTTCAATTACACTGGGGCAGCAGCATTAACAGCTCCCTCTGCTTCAGCAAGCCAGGAGGTTCAAGTGTCCACTTTATATAAACACACACATTTTAGCATTTCAACATGCCGTTCCCTGCCGACTCTCTGGGGGAAGGGGTCTGGGGCAGATCTTCAGTCTAAAGACAACTTCTGGAGTCCTGCGGTTGGTGGAAGTCCAAGAGCTCAGGACAAAAACATAAACACTAGCTGGGCAATTCCATGTGAAAGTCCATTTGATGACACATCCATGAAGCTGATAAAATGCTATGTATTTCTAGCATATAAATGAATGAATTTGAGGATATTCAACACAAGAGGACACATGAAAAGATATGCAGCTATACCATGCTCTGAGTCATTTTGTTTGCCAATATGAGTCCAAATGTCACATGCAGCCCAACTGAAATTTATAGACAAGTGAAAAAAGAGAAAAGCAGAGCTTCGATTCTCGATGGGTTTCCATTTTGACAGCTGGGGAGCTTGTTGCGATAACTGTGTTATGGCCAGAGATAGAGTGTAGAGGAATTCTGAGTCTGGTGTGATGCTGCTGGTTTTGGAAGTACTGTACATGAAACATGGTGATATTGACATATCAACTTGCCAAACAACAGCGCAACAGATTTAAAAGAAACTGGGATTTTTCTTGTACCAGTCACAAACACACTAGTCTGTGACTGCTTTTTTGTTCCATGGATGAAACTTCTGATGTAATTTTCAAAGTGTTAAGAGATCTTTCCGTCTGTATTCCACTGCCACAGTCTCCCATTAATAAAGTTATAGCAGTGGCAAAGATAATGAATGAAGAAACACATTAGTGTTCCAGGGCATCCAGTGTAAGGACCTCTTGGCACCATAAAATGAAAATGACCTTTTTGGTAATTATAGATTTGAAAACATAGGAAGGCAATAGTGAATCACTCCTCAGTGTAGAACACTGAGCACACAGCAGAAATGAATCTACTGTCCTTGGGTCTGTAGTCTTTAACAAGGGTGAACTGACATTCCTGACAATGTACTCAACACAAAAGTTGTCTGAAAACCTGAACACACAACACTTGGAAATTGTTCGGCAATAAATAAAGAGCTAAATCTTAGACAATAGTGCTTCGCATTGTTACAAGTAAGAATTTCTTGGTGAATTTCCTCATTAAGGGTGTTTGATTGGCAGTGGAGGGTGTATTGAGAGGAGAGGCAGGTGACGGCAGATGTACTGATTTGTTCCTCCTGTTCTCCAGTCATAGAATGTTTGTGAATTATTGGGTTTTGTTTTATTTTATACCTCTGTAACCTGAGTGTTTTTGTACCATCTACACAATGTGCTCTTTTTGGTCCCTGCACTGTCTGTGTCTTTTTCTGGGATGAAATTGTAAGTTGTCCCTGTAATGAGGGTAGGGTGACCACCTAATCCATGTCAGGGGGACACTATGAGCAATGGCAGGGTTTGTAAACTACCATTTCAGTAAAAATGACCTGGATTTCCCTTTAGCACTGAGTTCTTGCTGGGTGGTGATTGGTCAGTCTCCTATAATCATGTATGTGCCACTAATGTTAATGTGAAACAGCTGGATGAGTCTTTCAATCAAGGAAAAAAAAACAATAAAAGCACAAGTAGAATTGAACAAATTGCCAAGCACAGGAGCCTTTCAGTTTTAAAATAGTTTGTAAGACCTGAAGTAGCTCATAGTGTCCTCCTGACATGGACTAGGTGGTGACCCTAAATGAGGGTGCCAACACAGCTAAAAATTCTCTAATTTATTGCACCGATTGGAACCATTTGTGGAATGCTTCAGGAATTCTGACATGCCAAGTGTTGAGACCGTAAATCAAGGTTGATCCGGACACTCCAGCCACCCAGCAAAAGGGAAACCATGAGGGGGAAGAGTGATAAGGAGGATGCACAAAAGGAAACTAGACCCTGCACCTCGCAGCCCCTAGTCCTTATTCGTGGCAGTGGTAACAAAACAGTAGCCAAATTCTTCCCATGATTCATCAGACTCATCTTTCGTCTGACAGCTGACAAAATATCAGATCTCATTTGCATGTAGTCAGAGCTTCCCTGCTTGGAAAATCTGTCAAAGCCTTGCCTTGTCCTCAATAAACAATTTCAGTACATTGGGAAGAGATGTTCTCCACAGCTAAGATATGCCATGCAATGTAGGGTTGCCTAATTGTACCTGCCCCCAGAATTTGATCATGATCTTCATTAAGCATTCTATAGGGCGACTTTAGTTTGCAGTTCCAGAGATTAATACTATACTCTACCTCCAGTGATGTTAAACTGACAAGATATTCTAAATTGGTTCTAGCTGCAGCTGATGCACAGAAACTCATTCGGCACCACCATAAATTTGGTACAACTATGAATGTTTATGACACAATTACATCTCATTTTTTGGTAAATTTTATCCTCTGAGCAAATTTCCAAAACTCAGTTGTTTGTTGTTGTTTGGAGATGAGACTGCCAACTACCTGAAGTTGGGCTTCCTCATCATATGGTAATGTATTGGGAACCAAAACTGGACCCAAGAACTCGACTGAAAGATATGACCAGCCTCCCCCTGATGCGAGTTAATCCTTTTATTCCCTCATGCTATCTCCCTTTGTCCTGCGACTTTGTGTCCTCCAGTCACACACCAATGCTGAGGGTGATTTACAAGACGGAGAATGACAGGAACCCCAAACGTTTAGCATCACCATGAAGGAATTAGCCGACTGACTACAGCACTAATTATCAAAGGACTAATAAAAGTCTATTCACAGCCAGTGCCGTAATACTAGTGTCCTGTCATAGCTCAAGCAGGTGGTAGCCAAAGAAGACAACAGCCATTTCTTTGGATGATCAGGAACCTCAGCATGTCTAAAGCATCTCACAACCAAAGACCCATGAACAACTGGACCCTGGTGGCCTCTTCAGTGAGTTTTAACAGAAGATTTACTTCTCCACCAAAACCTGATGCTGTTTAGACCTAATTTTGTCCTACTTGCAGCCAGACAAAGACTCTGGGTGGCAGTTTCTGACAGAGCGGCCACACCTCTCTCTGACACCCAGTGAACTCATGAATTAAACTTCCCACAATCCAGAGTGAGATCCTATGGAAACTGCTAGAAATGGTGAAGAATGGTGAACAAGCACCTGTCACTGTTTTCTTTTCTGCTCGTTTTCTGATCTTTCTATAAATGGCTAAATGAAACAGAGTAATACAGAAATGGTGAAAGAGTACAGTTCAGTAAATGTCAGCGGACAGTCAGCTGGTCCATAAATCTCCAAATAAAGCCCCCAGAAGATCCCAGGTGAAGGGGTCCTATCTCTCCTGAGCCTATGAGGTGGCTCCTCCTAGGCAGCCCCCGCTCATCCCACACCCTCCCCAGTGACAACCCCCCCCAGCCAAACCTATGATCAAGCACAGCGGTATATGGGCTGATTGGAATTCCACACGCTCTGTGGCCAAATAGCCCCCTCCCGTTCTCCACATCCGATCCCGGGAGTTCCCTTGAGCGGACGCCTCGGCTTTCTTCCAGGACTGACCCCCCGGCACCTGACCTTCAAGACCCTCTGCTGACCCTCAGGCAGCACGACCGGCAGTAGAGAGTCAGAGAGGACGACTGTGATGGGGGGGAAGGAGAAGACGTCTTTATGCATAGCTGACATGGCCAAACACCAAACGTGAGTCTGAACTATTAAGCTCTGTTGTTAGAAGCCCTTTCCTTCAATTTAATTATTTCTTTGACTGCCTGAACTCATATGGCTCTGCATAATAAATGTGGTGTTAGCTATTCATGTGAATGTATAATATTTTTGCATGTCCTTCACATACAGCATTGGGTGCCATATGGAGGTTGGTACCAGGTTTACAGTGAGTCTTTCTGATGACAGGTGTCTTGGGCTTGCAATCAATGTGGTTGTGACATTTAGGGGTTCAGAGGATAGTTCTACACTGTGTTATAGGCCGCAAAAATAACTGCATGACGAATGCAAAAAGGAGATGTGTGGATACGATAACTGTTCTTGTAATCTGGAACCTGTACTGAAATGTCATGGCACAGGCAGAGGTGATGGACACTCATCTGTCAAGACCCCTGATCTGTTTCTGATTATTGAATGGACCCCAAATGGGAATAATAAATACCTGTAATGCTGGTCGGCTGGATTCTTACCAAATGCTAATATAGCGTCTAAACAAATCACAGGCATACTGATGCATGGAGCAGTTGCCACTATCATCAACATTCTTCGAATAAGCGTATAGATGTTTATTATTATCATTAGAAACAGTTTATATTTGCATTCTGTTGTTTGCCCTGTGATGAACTGGCATCCCATCCAGGGTGTACCCCAGCCCTGTACTGCTCAGGATACTGATCGAGATAAGCATTTACAAGATGGATGTTTTG